TTAGTTGTAGTAACTCAGAGGAGTTTTTATCTATTTTCTTGATTCCAAAACTCTAAAAGGATAAATTTTGTCTTTTTTTTTCTGTATTGAGATCAGAAAATGCCATTGTTGTGAGTTATTTTAGATGAGACACATTGTCTTATTAAAACTCTTAAGTAAAACTCCTTGTCCTGAGAGTAAGATTTTTTTCTATCCTCTATTGGTGGTGCCAAAGATTCATGAAGTTAATTCTCCTGGTCTCTGACTTCTAATTCCCTGTTTTGATGACTTTATTTGGTTGTCCTGGGACCTCATGTAGATTAGAGCATGACTCTAGCCTCTCAAATGAGCTGCACTAATTATGTTACATCAGGAGAACTTGTGAAGCTCAGAATCTCAAGATTCTAACCAAGTGATGAGCAAGGTAATTTCCATTGCTATGATCAGGCCCTCCCTGTGTTAAAGAGATCTATAGGTCTCTGTGACTTTAGGCTTCTTCTATCCCTTTTTACCTTTTGGTCAGAAACTCCAGAAATTATTCTTGCAGTAAAAGGTTCTTCAAGTCACACTCTTCAAGGTGATTGAACCTGTGTGACCTTGATAGGAGACCTCCTATACTGTGTGATACTGTCACCTCAAGGAGAGCCACTGCTTATTAGCATAAATTGTCAGCTTTATGTTTCAGTAAAATAAATACACATTTTCCCTATGGTAATGACTTTTCTCTCACTTTGTGAAAACTGCAGGGACCCTTGTTATCGAGAAATAATCATATTCTAATGGTACCACTTATTGTGCCCAGTGAAAGTCTCAAGGATGTGATTATCTCTTAATAACCATAAAGCCTGTTATGTATCATGTTGTATTGTTATTTACTTTGTGTGCATATGTGGGAGGACCCATTAGTGATCTCTGTGGTTGTTACTATTTGGTGTGATAATGATAAAAGAATCAGATGACCATTTGCTTGTAGCTAGACAGCACGATTACAAATACATTTACTTTTCAATGAAAAATGCATTGGAATGTAATTTCTTGCATAGTACTAGTTTAACAGCCCTGATGTTAAAAACTAAATTATGTCAGGCAAAACTAATGAAAATTCTAGAAATAAACATGGGAATTTTAATGTCTGCATGACCTTTATCTCCCACAGAGTATTCAGGTTGGGTTTTAACTACCTGTGAAGGAAGTAAATAACTGTGAGAAATGCCTGCTGATTCAGTGATAGAAAATGCCATCAATGACTTAGACAACATAGGCTCAATATAAAGAAAGGACCTTTAAGTACAGTGTCTTTTAGAGTATGAATGGTTATTGAGTGACAGATCTTTGCTTTCATGTCATGCAATCCATTCACGTAATTATGTTAATAATAATAGGTATAATTATTGAATAGTTGCTGTAGTCTAGATTATTTTCATATATCATATTATTTTATCTTTACAAGAAGCTTTCAAGGCAGTTACTATTGGTCCAGTTTTGTAGTTGAGGCAACGGATTTTAAGCCATTTCATTGCTTGCTTGAGTTCTTGAAGCCGTTGAAACATAAAGCTTAGCTTCAAATCTGTCTTTAAAGTCTGTTTTCTCCGCTGCCTGTTTAAAGGCATACAACAGAGAGTGATCAAGCACAATGGTGGAAGAATTGTAACTGATGGTGATCTTATTTTCTTATAAGTATATGTCTCACATCAACGTGCAAAGTAAAGAGATCACTTTTTCCTCCCTCCTGACCTTGCATGTTGTGTCTGTGCAAAGTAGAAGCCTTAGAGGTGTCACAGATGGTTTTTGAACATATTCATTAGAATTGTCTTGATTATTTTACCTTTCACTTACAAATTTTTTTGACTAAACAACAATACACTTTTTGGTTCTGAGCTATTTGGAAAGGGTCTAGATAGGGGGACATTTTGCCCCCCGGAATAAAATTATTTTTTGGCATAGGCCTTGCGAGCTGCTTTGCCTTCCTGTTTACTTTTAGGTGAGAATCTCTGCAGGTATTTGTGGGTCTGTATTGAAATATAACTAGTGCATTTATGTTGGCAACAACTTATTTGTGAAAAATTCTTAGAACAAATCATTCTGAGTAGAGGGAGATTCATCCATTTAATCATTTATGTATATGGAAGTTTCGCATCTGTTTTCATACTTGATTTTTTATAGTTTATAATAAAATCTATAACTGAAGTTTAACCGTAACTTTGAGGGAATGAAAGTGGCTGTCTACTTGATTCATCTTTCCTCATGCTGGCACATCCGAGATGGGGAGTTTTAGCTGGATTACTTTTCTTCTAATAAGAGGTACAAATAAACAATTCCTATTCACTAAGAGAAGTTCAGGGAGGTAAGACAGATTCAGAAACTTCTGAACACTAACGTAAACATTATTGTAAATTTCTTTTAAAGAGCAGTCGTGAAAATGCACTGTGGATTTAAAGCATGAAATACACTGTGGATTTAAAGCATATGCCTTACTTTATCTTAGACTTTTGTTTTGGAACCATTCATATAGTCAGCACATTTTAGGAGCACCTGTTTAGCCCTGGTTGTATGAGACTGCAACCTAAAACTGAAGCCTAAGGTAGCATACATACTTACGTCCTTCCTGTACCGGTTATTATTCCTATTGCTGAGCAAAATACTGGACTCTTGCTACTTAAAATCAGAGAGATCTATTTTAGCTCATGATGTGAAAGGTTTCAGCCCATGGTCAGCTGACTCTAAGGCAGAAATTTCATGGTGGAAGGGCATGGCAGAGAAAAGGTACTTTTCCTACTTTCCTTCCAGATTCCATTCTCTAGTTCCATGGCAGCTAATTACCTAAATACATTCTTGACATATTGGCCCATCCAACAGGTAAGTTCTTTTGGCCAAGGTTCCCTGTGCAAGCAATTATAGAAATCAAAGAAGTGAATCTAGTAACGTTTTCTATAATGAGTAAGTGTTTGAGAAGTTGTGTTTCTTCAAGGTGAGGACTTTGCTGTTTGTATATACAGTCACCATTCTTGAGAATATCCAAGTGTGGCAGTATCTTACCATTATTTCTACTCTATTAGGGGATAATAGTTTAACTAGTGTAAACTGAATGCCTAATCTACATTTTTGTATTTAACTATAAGTTTAGAAATTAAAATAATTCTTTAAGGATTAATAATGTTATTGTCACTAATTTGATGTAAAATTGAGGCTTACATCAATAGAAGAATTATTCAAAATCATGTGGCCAGTAAGTATTTGAACAAATATCCCATCCCAGGCAACTTGGGCATTGAAGCAAAAGAAACATTTTACTGAAATAAAAATATACTTTAAGTTTTCAGATAAGTATTTATCATTCTGCTACATGGGATAAATGTGATCTTTACCTTCAGTCTTTAAAAGGAAAAAAATACATATATATATACACACACATACATGTGACAAGTTCCTAGTAAAATCTAAAAAAGAAAACACAGCATTTTGATCAATATTTTAGGATGTTTTACCTCAGTTATTGCTTTTACTGATAGCTGCTGCTAATAGCTGTGAATGGTTCCAGAGTTGTAATTACAGCTGTAGCTGTACAATGGCTGTCCTTGAATCAGGAAACATAAAAGCAAGTGTTAAGATACATACTAGTTTTCTTGGTTACTTTTCTCTCCTTGCAGAGACAAAATACCCAACTCCCAAGTTAAGGAAGGCAATGTTTATTTAGCTTACAGTTTGTAGAGGTTCCAGTCCATACTCAGCTGGCTCTAAGGCAGAGTGGCACGTGGCAGAGGGCAACAGTTCATGGCCTCAGAAGACAGCAAAGCAACAAGAGCAAAGGGAGGATTGGCAGAGCTGGCAAGCCTCTTTCCTTCCCTTATATTGTAAGGGGTTACTCCTACCCAGGGGGCGTGTAACACTCACATAATCTCCATGCCCTCCTCTTGCACAGGCTCAGGGTGAATACAAAGTAAGCACACTGGCACCCTGCTGAATCACATAGTTCACCTTCTAAACTTTTCACATTGACACAATGAACAACATCCTAGAGCAGGAAGGGCATGTCCTTTACACACTGGGATGTGGAACTGCTGAGTCACTTAGCCAAACCTCTAGACTTCCCAAGATGACACAATGTATCAGCCATAGCACTACTCTTGTAGCCAATGCATCTACAGCTCATAATAGGCCTTATTAAAATAAAACAGATGGTGACATATTTGTGGTTCACAGTTAACTTGAATAGAGTATGCTACTTTGCCCAGTCCATAAAAACACTTTTTTACATTTGTCAAAATCACTTGTAGAAAGTTGTATTTTTGGAATAAGTAAGAGGATAGGAAAAGAAAAATAAAGATATGAATGATATGAAGTATTTGTGTCTGATCCTTTCCTTTTGGGTGCTAATATCACTAATCTTACTAATACTGGTAGTGAGGAATTTACTATGGAAATGAACTATTTTGCTAACCAGTAGAAGGCATACTTAAGAAGTGATGATGTATTTATGGCTAGTCAAGAAAATGTATAATTTCTATTCCAATTAATTATTCCATATTTAAATATAAACCATATTTAAATATAAACCAGAATACACTCATGTTAAATATAAAATTTTGTAAGCATACGTGGACCAGAACTAAGAACCTGATGGAGACCCCAAAAGTTCAAACTCACGTACAGTTTAATCAAAGCTTAGTTGATTGCCTGAAACTCCACAGCCAATAAACTGATTAAACTGCAAACTAACTAGTTACACTCTAACTACTTGACTGGCACCCTTGCACTAACAACATAAGGCGAGAGTATGGTGAACGGACTGACCAACAGCCACTGAGCTCGTGTGGGACAAAATGGACAATGGAATCCTGTCTCCTAATCTAGGCAGAAGTCCATACCAATTGTATCTAATTTTCATTTCTTCATAACTTAATTTTCGAGTGGGAAAATTATACTTACAAACTACTTGTAAGCCTGTCTTGAAAAATCAATTCACATGCATTCCTGCTTTTATTTTAGGAATTGTTGACATACAGAAACTCCACAGAATGTGGCTTCTTGGGCTGCCCTAAAAGGTAAGCTTCCCAGAAGGGAAGATTTTCTTTACTTGTACTTCACCTTTGATTAGCATCCTTAGTTGCTATAGGAACATAGAGACCCTTGCCTTTCAGAGTGGAACCATGAGACCATTTTATGTATTTATGAATACTTAAGGAAATGAATGGAGTAAAGTTACACAAAGTAATGCCTGAAATTAGGAAATGAAGAGCATTCCAGATTCTCTGAGGGAGATAATTGAGGTATGTTTTCTGGGACTTAGGTTAATTTGATAATCCAAAAATTTTACAATTTGACATGATAAAAAGAATACTAGAGCTGGTGTCATGGTGCATACCTATAATTCCAGCACTCTGGAGACTGACGCAGGAGGCTCACTGTTGAGTTCAAGGTCAACCTGAACTACATAATAAGACCCTCTCTCAAACAACAAGAACAACAACCAAAAAAAAAAAAAAAACCACAAAAAGAGTACTGAGAATAAAGATTGTTCAACTTTTTGTTTGTTTTTTGTTTTTGTTTTTGTTTTTTTCCAGTGCTGGTAATCGAACTCATGAACTTGTGCTTGCCAGGCAGATGCTGTGCCGCTGAGCTAAATCCCCAACCTCAGATTGTTCAACTTTTGCTGAATACTTTCAAGGAATATGCTTTAACAGTGAAATAAACACAAATATTAACTCAATATTAACTAAAGTATAGGAATATTTAGGTGTTAAATGAATAAAATGTGACAAATATAACTCACCATCTATAATGTATGTAAATTGGTTTCTTTTTTTTTTTTTTTTTTTTTTTTTTTCTCCGGTACTGGGAACCGAACTCACGACCTTGCTCTTGCCAGGCAGGAGCTTTTGCCGCTGAGCTAAATCCCCAGCCCCGTAAATTGGTTTCTTAATAAAACACATTTCTGGAAAAGTAAAATTGGTGTTTGTGCCAGTTTTCTCCCACTAATCTGACAAGGTACCTGAAACTAGGGTGCTTAAAACAAAAAAAATGTATTCTGTCACAGTTGTGAATGTTAACAGTACCAAATCCCAGACCAAATCCAAGGGTCAGGTTGGCTGTACTGAGAGCTTGCTTTCCTTGATTCTTCTAGCTTTAAATGTTGGTGTTCTGTGGCTTGTAGATACATCTCTCAAATCTCTGGCTATATCTTCATGTGGCCTGTGTGTGTGTGTGTGTGTGTGTGTGTGTGTGTGTGTGTGTGTGTGTGTGTGTATCTGCCCCTGCCCAAATTTCCACCTCCTTATAAAGATACTGATCACTAAATTAGGGCCCATGGTAATCCAAGATGATGGCATCTTAATTTAATTACATCTGCAAAGACCCTTTTCCAAAATAAGATCACGTTCATAGTTTCCAAAAACTCTTGATTCTCAGATTTTTTTAAACTCTCAAGAAATGTAGAAAAACATTTATTTTACTTGATTCCTTAGATATTTTTCATAGGCCAACACTGAGTAAAATTTTTAACTGATTAGCTCTTTCTCAGTAACAACTCGCCCTAAGATTCAATGGAGAAGAACAATAAACATCCATTACTTCTCCTGGGTTCACGAGGGCAACCTTTCAGGTCTTCTGATTTGGAACTCGCACTATCCTGATTGGGTATGTTGGTGGATCTGGGGTCAACATATAGGTCTGTGCATCATGTTCTGCTTGGATTGTCCAGACTTCTTTGCATGGTGCAACATTATAACTACTGATAGATTCTAAGTCATTAACTTTTCTGTTTCTACCTTTTTAAGGCTTGCCTGTTCATCCATCCCGCACAGAGAAGTAAGTGTGATATTCCTCCATCACTTCCTACATTTGATCAGGTCACCACAGCCATCAATGTATCTTTCATTTTTCCTCCTTTTTTTTAGATTGATTGTGAGCATTTTTAACACAGCTTCAAACAGTTGAGGATTATTCCACCTTGCTTACCTGTCTACTTTAGCTTTGTTTCCCTACTTGTCCCACCTCCTAAAATAGGTTCTTCCTACCTAAAATTATTTAAATTAATTAAATACTGTACCTATTCCCAGTGCTATCTTTTCTTCCTATGATAATCTGTCCTCCTTCCCCTACTATGTCAGCCATCTTTGATCAGCAATTTTTATTGCCACTTGAAAACTCCTTCCAGTAACACTTCTCTGGCTCACCTTCTCTGCGATAGGCTGCTTTTTATCCCTCCAATGTCAGTGCAATATAAGTAAAATAGTGATCCCAGTGTACACGATTGCATGATTGTCTTACTCTCCCACTATAGATTTCTGAAGACAGAGGTCCCACTATCTAACTTATCTTAGTATTCCAAGCACCTAGCAGTACATGCACAAAGGATGTCTTCAGTAATGAACCATTAGAAGGATGCAATATTTAATGTCATCTTCCCTTTTGTCATTCCAGTGTCTTAAAGTTTAAGTTGTTCGACATTTCCAGAATTAAGACTGAAAAGGAGGATTCCAGGTTCTCTCAAATTTTGCTGATCCTCCTTCTATAAAAACAGCATTTGGGTACCTGCTTGTTGTAAAATTCCCTATGAGCCAATGCAAACCACAAAGTTACTTGATATACATATTTGTACTTTTAAACTTTTAATTCCAGAAAGAAAAACAAAATTAAACTTTTTGTCAATGTTTAGACAAAAGGAGCTTTTACATGGAAGGGTTCTTTACAGGTTCCTTGAAGGCTGAGGAAAGAGAATCACAAGTTCAAGGCCAGGCAGGGAAAGTTAGTGAGACTCTGTCTTTAAAAAGCTTATTAAAAGGTTAAGGGTATAGGTCATAGATCCCTGGGTTCAAGTCCCAGTTCTGCAGAAAGAGAAAAAAATCAGAGTATTTTTCTATCCTGGGCCTGTATTCTCAGATGGCAAGAGGACTTAACCCATCAACCCTTGCCCTTCCATGACTCCTGGAAGTGTCACGCCATGTCATTTGCTACCAATTCTGTCCCAAATTGCATTTCATCTAGGTATCCTTAGCCACTGGAAGTTACATGGATTGATGAAATGCGGATTCTTAGCTAGACTGTAAATGTGAAACAAGGATATTGTAGTTTCAGAGGTTTCATGTCATCTAGATGAAAATAACTTGTGTCTTTGCGTTCAAAGCTTTGTACTTGATTTCCTGCTTTAATATTTGAACAGGTAAGCTAACCTCTCTGAGAGATCATTAGTGACAAAAATATTCTTAATGAGCTTGTGTCATGTTAGTTTGCTTTGTTAATACCATAAAATTCAACTAAAGTACACAAAGATAGTTACAACTCTCTCTGGATTGGAGCAAATAATTTTCATCCTTTATTAGACATCAACTTTATGAAATAAGGTACCTTTTCAAGCTAAAAGATGGATAAATCATGAAAATATTACAACTGATAGGAGCCCTTGCACAGAAGGTAACTTGTAATTTGAATTCCAAGTATATAAAATGTCTAGACTAGGGAAAATTGTACAAGATACGTCAGTGGAGAGGAGAAGTGATTGATAGTCATCATAAGATCTATTTTTCTAGGATGATGAAAGTGTTTTGAAATTTGATAGTGGTGACAGTTGGAGAAACTCATAAATATATACCAAACACTATTGTACTGTCCATTAATGGTAGATTTTATGGAGTGGAATTAGTTCAGCAAGGTATAAGTAAAGAAATACGGGTTTTCAGAAGCTATGATTAGTAAGTGCTGTAAAAAAATTCATACTCTTTCATTCAAGTTCATGTAGACTGTCTTCCTCAGTGTTCTAATTTACCTGTCCTCTGAGGTCAAAGAACAAATTAAGTTGTTAATTGTCACCATTCGTGGTTTCAGGCAAAGATTTTGAGTGGTAAGGACAGACAGAAGTGTCTTTTTACTGTAAATTCTTCCTTGACTTCCTGTTTAAGTTATAGGTTCCTAAAGCTATAAAATAAAGATAGTAATAGCCATTTTCAGGGTTTGGAAGAATAACTGCCAAATTACTATGGTGTCAGCTAGGAAGCAGGCCCTCCATAATTGCTGCTCTATTATAACTTGTGTTATTTAGTTCTAAATATTGGGTATAACATTAGATTCTTGGCAGCTCAGCTATTCCAGGATTGGCTTTCCTCTTATTGGCATCTTGGTCAGAAAGAAAAGAATGGCTAAAATGTCTGTTAGCTTGTAATGAATTTAATCAGCCCCTGAGGGACTTCTAATATAGCAGAGAAATATTTAACAGAGAAACGTAATTTTTATTCTTTCTGTGCTACTCCTCATAGCTGACAGAGCCCTCTCTGCTAGAGGTACCATTACTTGTACTGAGAGGAGCATTAACATACCATAAGTGAGATGTTAGAAATAAGAGAGCACATCCCTGTGGCCTTATATTAAAATGTGACTGCGTGAGCCTCTGACTGCGATTTAAAGTGCTGGCAATAAGAAAATAAACTGCTCTCTAAAAGTGTGCAATTCGGTTGTCCATCATTTTTATTATTTATGGTCTCTTTTTTCCTTTCACTAGGGTTGTCGAGAATTTTCTTTTAACCTTTGTTGTTGTCTTTGGAATGGAAATGTGAAGTGTTAGGTTGGGAGTATAGAGACTAACTGTATTATTTGGAGATCTACATTATAAATAATGATATATAGAAATTTGTAATCCTACTTATGAAAAATGTCTATATGAATCACTCCATTTGATCTAACTGCTGTTTATGGTTTTCCTCATGGATAATGGAAAGGATTATGCCAAGTTAATGGCCAGAATATTAGGAGAATTTGGGTCAGTTCTTTTCTCAAGAGTGATTTTGAAAGAACCAACTTACGAACCAGATTCCACATTAAGAGCAGTGATACTATACCAAATAAAATTCTTATATTCCCTGCTGTATTGAATTTGATACATATGAGAGATAACAGATAATAGGAAAATAAAAATAACACAGGTTGTACTAAGAGCTATTAAAAAAAGGAGGATAATGCAGTGATAAAGAAGTAGAGGTTATGATTCTACATAACAGACTTGTATTAGGCAACTTATCATAAAATGGTGTTGAATTTCTATTAACTTGGAGAG